CAGTCGCATCCCGAAAATGAGAATAGACTAGATTAGTAGATCCAGTAGTTAAGTAGTTATTTAGTGATGTTCCGTATAATCTCAACCCTGGAATTAATAAACCCCAAACGGTTGTTTAATTGGGGGGATACCATTTAAGTATATTTAAGTATCAGATTATGACTATTTGGGGAGTACCCCACTCATTAATAAACCATGGTTTATTAATCCGGGGTTGACATTACCCAATTGCCTGAATGGACACTTGAAAGGACCGGTATCTCATTCGGAAAACCGAGGCTCAGGCCGTGTAGAAACTGCTGTGCCACCCAAACGGCCTACCAGGCGGGAGTACCACGGTTCCCAGTCACAAAATACCGAAATGGAGGAGCTTCCCACCCAATATCAGCAATTTTTGATGTTTCCCTTGTTAAATCTCACAATTAATATCATTCCTCTCAGCAAAATTACGAAATTTGCGGACCCGAAGTTGATTCCGCCGTTACTGGGATGCACCCCCCTCATCCGTTCATCAACATTTACGGTGTGGTCGGTCCCCAATACTAATTTACGCTTTGTTTGTAGGATTGACAAACGCAGCTAGTTCGATAGTCCATCTGTTCAGTACTCAAACATGTGAAAAATTCCCTTTTATCCATTTAGTGCAGACCAACATTTTTTGTTGTTGTTCACCATCTTGAATTGTTTTTCCATTGATTTTCATTGATTTTCTCCCTTTATCAATGCATTTCCCATGTTTCTCCATGGATTTTCCCATTTATTGATGCCTCTGCAGAGACCGTCGCGCCTCTGCAGAGGTCAACCAGCAATAGGCGTCTTCACCTCACAGGAAATGACATGTTTAAGTGTCAAAATAAGGGAATTCATGTGGACATCATGGTGAAATCATGCGAAATTCATGGTGAAATCATGGTGAGTTCATGGTGAAAATCGTGGTGAACATCGTGTGAAATTAGGGTGACATCATGTGCAATGACAATCCAAAACTGATCGGCAAAAAACGATCCACAAAGTCCGATGAACTATCGTAGGACAATTTTGGCTGAAACATGGCGAGTCAAATGGAAGGTTTTTTGGTCAATTCTCCTTAAAGCGGACCCTGGAAGACATTCCCTCAATATAATTCTCCTTGAAACTTCGAAACCCCAAAGCACTATGGTCAATTTTGATTCAGGCTTCTCTTTATTGTAATAAGGAATCTACTGGCTTCCGGACTTGTAGATCCCATTGGGTCTCTTATTGGAAACTTGTTTGATATCCTGTGATATGTTCTGCCATCCCATGCATGTCTCTTAGAGTTCGTTATTGCCATCGGCTTCGAAATGCTTGCCTGCAAGGTATACAAGAGGGGAAACATATATAGTTTTTTGTTGTAGCAAACCTTTTGGAGAACATCAACCAACTTACAAGTAGGTACATTTCGCATGACCTCTGTAACCCCTGCTACTCAAACTCGGCAATGTGAAGTTAACGATTTCACGAGGATTTCATGTACAAATGAAGGATTGTTGTTGGCCGTTTACCTATTTTGTGTTTGTAAACAAACTAAACCACAATGATCTACAGATCACCTCATTTTTGCTGGTTCTGCCCACTATTGGAGCCAATTATAGATGGATAACATCCCATTATTTTTGCTGCTTGACTGACCAATTTTTACACCCCAAACATGGGGTGCGACGATTTTCCAACCACTGGAGATTGCAATTCTTGCAAGGTGGTGCCCCCGTTCGATAGCGTTCAGTTGGGGGCCACATAACTCCAATTTCACTCTGGTTTATACCTATAGGTGTTATATCGAACTTGTTTTCATGGGGTGAATCTAAACCAATAAACGTAGATTAATATAACTGAGATATAGTTATAGTTACATACCAATTATCGAAGGAAGTTTAGAAGTCAAACTTCCGACAATGTGGACAGATGAACAGAGATGGGAAGAGTCAGCGAAGAGAAGAAAAGAAGAAAGAAGATCAAAAAGAGAAAGTCTCCGAAGAAAGAAGATCCATGCAGGTGCGCGAAAAGGTAGGAAAGTCGCGAAACATTGTGCTTTTCCAATGATATGTGGCTCCGGAGGGTCGAAAAGTAGGCTCGCTAAAGCGGATTAAAGCGGCGGGTGCGAAGCCAGCTGGCCAGATGAGAGAAAGTTGCACGCTGTTGTGGCGTGAAGCACATTTCCAAGTCAAAAGTGTAAAAAACTGCGGGGTACGCAGCACTTTTGGACGTTCAGATGTCGTTTTGCGTGGCAGGCGCAAGGGTTGTGCACCTTGTCAAAAGTGAGCAAAACGTGAGGGTTTTGTCGCATTTCAAAAAACGATGGCAGGCGTGGGACATTTGAAGAGGATCTGCAAAGATGAATTTTCCGTGGCAGGCGCAGTACAAGAGACATGTTCATCAGAGCTGTTAGGAGGTCCGGGCGCTGATTTCCTGAGATGGGTTGCATTATGGAGCATGAGATCTTCAGTTTTGGGAAGATGATTTTGCGTGACAGGTGCAGCACTTCGTATGACCTGGTATCACTTTTTCGTGGCAGGCGCAGTACTTTAGACAGGTGGAGTGGAAAAAACTCAAAACACATTGGTACGAGGCCGTCAGCTCTGCACTCAACTTTCCATTTTTGAAGGAAGTCTCGCAGAATTGCTTCGTTTTTGATGTTGTCAACTTCGAAAAATGAGGAAGTCTCGCAGAATTGTTTCGTTTTTGACGTTGTCAAGTTCAAAAATTGAGGAAGTCTCGCTGAATTGCTGCGTTTTTGATGTTGTCAAGTTCAAAAACTGAAGAAGTCTCGCAGAATAGCTTCGTTTTCAAGCTTGCAGATAGGCAGATAGATAGATAGACAACTACAACTGCAACTACAAGTACCACTACACGACACTACTACTACAACTACAAGTACAAACATACTACGCTACATTACACAACGCTAATTACACTACACTAATTACATCTAATTACACTACACTACGCTAATTACACTACAACTACTACAGCAGCAACGACAACAACAACAACTACTACCACCACCACAGCTACAACTACAATTGCAGCTACACTACGTTACACTACAATACACTAATTAAACCGCAGCACATTATATACAGTTACAAATGCAAATACAACTACAGCTACACTACATTACACAACACTACACTTGACAACTGCAACTACCACTACATTGCACTACACGACGCTACACTACAACTACAACTACACTACTTTACACTACAATACACTAGACTACACTACACTATACCATGCTACAGTACACAACGCTGCAGTACACTACAATACACTACACTAATTACACCACACCGCAACTACAACTGCAACTGCAACTACACTACGCTAATTACACTACACTACAGCTACAACTTACAACTACAACTCCACTACACTACAACTACAACTACACCTACAACTACAACTGCACTACACCACACTACATCCAGCAGTTGTGGTGAGGTGACCACTGCAACCATTGCAACCACTCCAGACAACACAACTCCAACCACCTTTCGGTCCATCGGTGGATTCGCTCTGCCATCCGTGAGTCACAACAACCAACCCTTCCTATAGGTTTCCTATTTTTGAAACTTCCGCCACCGCCTCACGTGCGGTACTACTGGTAGTTATTGGCTGATATATATTATATATATATATATATCTATATAAACATAACGTTTGGGGGGGCACCAAATCCCATTCATATCCCAATAATATCCCATTTGTAGTCCCATTCATATCCCATTCATATCCCATTTAGTCCCATTGAAACGTTTGTGGGGCACCGCTCCTGCTTTGATCCACTGGAGAACTCGACCGCAGGCCATCAGTGCGGCCTCGAAGGGGGACACCAGTGATATTTCTATGGTCTATTTGCCAGAAAAATATAGCATCAGTTCTATATAAATGTCTAGAAATGTCCAGCTTGAAGATTTTTCACTTCACTTTTGTTGGAAAATCAACGCTGTTTTTATCAGAATGAACTATATAGTTTAACAATAGAAAGATAGTTTACCTTGAAAAAACACTGGAAAATTAAGAGTATAGCCAAATAATTAGATAAAATACAGTCCTTTTGTTCACCAGCTATAGTTGCATTGATGGTTTGTTTTCAGTCATTTCAGTATATCATCCACCAAATCTGGTCAGTTGTTGACACGAAAACCGTTGAACATGACCCGAAAACCGTTCAGTTACCCTCTGGTAAACTCACATAACTATGGAAAATCACCATTTCAAATGGGTAAATCCACTATAAATGGCCATTTTCAATAGCTATGTTAGTTTACCAGAGGGTAACGTACATAAAGATCTATGGTAAATCCACCATAATTCATGGACAATTCCTTGACGGGACACAAGGAATGAATTGATGTTCTGTTGGAAGTCCGCTGTGACAGCCCTTATTACTTGGGGGGACCCCCCAACGATAGCTAAGTTGGTGGAAATGTGAATTCTATGATTAATGGATACGGCCCAAATGGCAGATATAAATCGAAGTACTGTAGTTCATGGGTGGTGAAGCCCATGCTAATTACACCAAGTCATTCACTGGTAAATCACTCACCAAGTCATTCAACTGTTGCTATCCTCGTGGCTGTTTAAGATTCCATCCACCAAGGGCAACTGTTAGATTTTCTATGGCCGGCTTCCCCTGATCTCTCAGCTGTTGTTTGGTGGGTTCATACTGCACTACGAAACAACACCAGCTTTTTTGCGCTGCCAGGATTGGTAAATCATGTATCGCATCCGCCAGGGGAAAATCAGGCAAATGCGATAGCAGTTTCCTAAGCTATCTCGACTTGTGCCTAGGTGCCAAACGCACGGTCAAACGGGTCAAACGGGTCAAACGGACATCATTTCCGTCCAGGTACACTCAATCAGTGTCTTACAATGGTAGAGCCGGGTGTATCAAAGTAGCATCTCCTCTTGGGTCGCTTCTACCATGTTCTACCAATGCTCAAGATTTCAAAGTTCCCATTTCCCATCTCGAAGGATCGTGTGTTTGAGATGACTGAGATACACCCCCAACCCATTCGTTCAGAAACGTGCAGACTGCGCGCTACGCATCATTCGTTCAGAGTGCTTTTGATCAGTTCATACCTGGGCAGATCCCTGAGATTTCAACCCGAATCCCCCAGGGGCCCCAGGGGCCCCAGGATGTAAATTTGATGTGGCCAACCCAATGCCATAAACCTATCATTTGGGAAGTTTATATCACCCAAGATGATTGGAAACTCTCCAGAAACGTCATTTTCGAAGTTCCCCCAAAATGAGCATGAAGCCACCACCCATTTATGGTGATTTTGGGATGGCTGATGATTGGGTTTACCATGAATCACCATAGAAAAATAAATAAGCCATCCCAATTAGTGGCACGGCTTTGATTCGTGAAATTGTCTGAGTTGACTTCACGGAAAACCATGTAGTGATGAGAAAAACCATCCGCAAGCCTCTGCGGAGGTTGTGGTGCTGCCCTTCAAATTCTGATTGATACCGAGGCTCTTTTTATAAGTCACAACTCAAATTCATCATCTGCTGTTGGTTGGTTACAAACAGTGTCATAACTTGTAATTTGGACCTATTCGCAAGATTGTTCCCGAAATCAGGACATTACGAGCAACTAAAAGACATGTCTAAAACACGTGCAGAACTATAATCCTACTTACTGAATTCCCATCACGTTAATAATATCAAGTTATCCAACACTGGTACCCTATGGTACCCTGCTGTTCACACAACATCAAAAATGTCTGGCAAATGAAAGTTCACCCACTTTTCGCCATTCCGCTTGTCCCATGGGTGTACACCCCCAAACCCAAGAAACTATCATGATCTACGAAAACTCCGATCAAAATAGATATGGACAATTGAAATGTGTTTCCCAATCATGAATAAGACCAGATGATTCTCCATATCAGTGAGATGGTAAGTTCTTTTTGTTCTGACTGACAACACATTGGCAGTGCTTGCTTGATTTTGGAACAAAGTAACATAACACCAAATTCACAAGGTATCGGAGGGTGATCCCTTAATTGGTTAGTAGTTGGGGTTATAACCACCATGAAAAGTATAAGTTAGAACAACCCCAATATCGTCCAAGTACCGTATTGCCACCACTTGTCCATGCTTATAAAATCTATGTTTACCCATCCCAAATGCCCCCAGTTAATCTCATGGGGTCCTTCAACCATAGATCCTAGGGATCCTAGATCCAGGGCCTAGACGGCCTAGGATTTCCCCCAGAATTTCAGAGACACAGATCCAGCTAAATCCCAATTTGCGCTGGCTAGTCCCTACAGGATGGTGCCCCCCAGTTATAAGTTGGTTTATAAACCCCATGAATACTATAGGTATATCTGCCATAAACCATAGGTTTAATGGGAGTTATGTTCACCAACTTATCTAACGGGGCACCACGTTGTATGATCAAACCCCATTTTGGGAAATCCAAACATCGATTTGGCTGGTAGTTCCATCACTGCCCTGAAAATTTCAGATATTCCGCATGGATTTTTTACACGGTTGCCCTCCAATTAACACGACCCTGCCAAATAGAGGCGTGGAAGATGAGTTTCCACAAAATTTAAGCCACACTTTTCCAGGGTAATTTTGGGGAGGGTAAATCCCACTTAATCTCAGTTAAATCCCAATCAAATCCCACCAAATCTCAGCTAAATCCCATCAAATCCCATCAAACATCACCAAATCCCGCTAAATCTCATTGTAAATCCCATGAAATCCCAATCAAATCCCATCAAATTCTCAAAAAAAAAAAACCCGTCCCGTCCCTCAGCATTTCTCGCTAGTGGCGTGGAAAAGACCACAGCATGCTGCGGCAAGGCTCGCGCCATGGTGGCACCGAAGCCTCACAGCGAGCTGAGTTAGTTTATGAACCCCCTGAATACTATAGATTATTACGATACCGGTACAAGTTCAGGGGGGTTGACCCTCTACAGGAGGGTCGACCCTCCTCATTTCCTAAGGGAAACTCAGACAGGTATTTATGACGTGTAGTTGGTTTATTGGAGTATAATAACCATGAATTCAGTCTTATAAACAGTGATTGGAGCTATAAACCAACTTGGATAATGAGATTCAATTCTAATTTTAAGTTAATAGTGATTTAATGAAGATTCAATGGTGATTTTAATGGCGATATCATTGGGATATGATTGCTATCTATATATATATAATATGATATATACATATGAAGAAACATGATCTGGTTTCATGGGGATTTCATCCAAACGTGGACCGAAGCCGGGTCGCCAATTTGAGAAAAAAAAATGGGGGTCGTGGTTCATCATTGAACGCAAAAGGATGTATGTACCCTCTGGTAATTTCTTACAGTTTGCGACATTTTTTCAATGGCCATTGAGTCATAGTTGATTTACCCATTAAACCTGGTGGTTGTCCATATAAATCATTATAAATCCCCATTTTCCAATGGTTTTCCCATGGTTTTCCCATTAGAAAAAACCAGAGGTCCCTAAGGGGCCACCGATCCAAGGGGCCATTGAGGAAGACCCTCCAGCCACCTTGTTGCATCGTTGTCCTCGGAAATTTCGACACAAAGGGAAGCGCCCTTGTACTCCTGATTAATTAGCATGTATGCATACCTGTATCTTTTATGATATATATAATATATATAATATATAATATATATATATATAGTATATATATATAGTATATATATATACCTATGTCCCAAAAGAATTCAAACATATTTCAAAGTATATAATTATGCCCATAGATTTATATAATATCAGTATAGGTATTGTTTGGCCAATCTTTTTGACACCCTGCTTGCTTTTCAGGATCGGTCTTATGCACACTGCCGCATGAGATTTTCATGGGGACACAACAAATCTCCCTCAACTGGGCCAGGACATCGGCCTTGGCTTTACTGGACTTCTTCATGTTTCCCAGTTGCATCATGTTGCATCCTACATCCCACGGATTACTTTGTCTTGTCATACTCTTCCCAGTCAATTCACCATTCTAGCTGCTGTATTTTTCTTGTGTTTGGAGAAACTAATCCCGTGGGTTCGGTCAAGTTTCCATTCTTGTGAGCCATCTCAACATCTTTGTTGGCTGTCTCATGTTTTTTTTTGCCAATGTCATATCCATTAATTATTCATTCCCTATGGGTAAGAGGTAATTTTTTTTCCATATTTTTTGGATCATTATCTCAACATATCCATTGATATTTTTCCCAATTCATTGGCCAAATCCCAATTCCACTGATGGCTAATTGAAGCCGCTGAAGCATGCTGAAGCCACTACTTTTTAACCGCCCAAAGTGGGCCAGTGAAATCCCCAAGTTCATCATGTTGGTTATATATAATTAATTCATATGATATGTCGTAGTATATATATTTTTTTGGATATAATATGTATATATATATATATTCATATATATATATATATTATATATATATATATACTACGACAATCTACGACATCATATTTGTATGGACGGAATGGTTTTTCGTTCACTACACCCTACTATGGTTGGTTTTAACCCTCCCCATTCCGGTTGGTTATAAAAACCCCGATGGTTTGTTGGCCAACTTTTCGTGAAAATTGAGAACATCCTTTTCGTATCTCATTCATAGCCATTAACTTTTATTGTCGGTTGAATTTCCGATGCTAAATCATGCTAAATCCACATTTTCTTCATCAAAATCACATGGGGTTCTCTGGAAAATAGTGCAAAATAGTGCATCCCATTCCATCTGTTGCTTCAACAGCATCCCAATTTTTCAACCCACTTGGGAGATGAAATCCACCAATTTTTGGGCCTCATGGCCTCATGGGCCCCATATCCTCGATCTTCATTGGACAAGTCCCTCTGGTTGATGCTATTGAAAATGGCCCAGTCGAAATCCTGGATTTTCCCATTAAACATGGTGGATCTTTCCATAGTTTTTTGTAAACGTTTACCAGAGGGTACCTATCTTTGATTGTTGAAGCCCCATATATTCGTTCTTCGTATTGTATCCCTTGAGTTGCATAGATTTCCTAAAAAAAACAACCGAAACTGGTGAAAAAACATCAGACTCCATGGTCAATCCAATATTGTTGGTTATCTCCCCCATTATACCCGTTCCATCCGTCATTATATTCATGGATTACATCTGTTGATGGTTGAATCATGTTACATGTCAAATCTCCATTTTTTATGGTTGAATCCCAATATAAAATCAATCTTTAATCCATTATAATATATTATAATATCCCATGTACATTTAATATACATCCCATCTTTAGAAACGATAACCCCGTTGAACTCATGGATTCCCGTGAGGGATTCCCATGAATCTCACCATGGCACACGATGCAATCGGTGAGGCCACCATAAACACCACAGGCAGAGGTAGTCCAGCGACTCAGCAGCTTTCGTCCCAGGCGTCACGTGGCGGATCGAATTGATGCGAATTCGAAATGGTGAATGATAATTCGCATCAATTCGAATAATAATTGAATAATTCGAATAATTCAATGCATCATTCATTCGAATGATAATTGATAATGAATATTTATGAATGATAATTTGAATGGTGAACTGATGTGAATTGAGTGTGGTGAATTGATAATTGATGCCCTAAATGAACGCAATTGGCTGTGCAGTGGCAGGGGATGAAATATGATGAAATGGTGAACTGATGCGAATTTGATGTTTTTTTTAAAATCTCACCGGAATCGCATTGTCCGAGAAATCTCCGAACATCGTCGTAGTATTTCTGTCTCCGTGTTTCGAAATGTGCAGAAAAGATCAACATAGATCAACGATCAAACGGGATTTTTTCTCCAGATTTTTCTTGGTGAAATCACCTATTTTTGATGCTGAAATGGGCCATCTACTCCAACCGCCCAAGTGACGTCTTGATCACGTCAATGGGGTAAGTGGATGCCCAAGCAGCAGCACCTCGCCATTTTTGGAGTCACAAGTGTTGTGATTTTGGGAATTGACCCACAAACATGGGGATTTACCATAATTAATTACCTAGGACCTACAGTAGATAGAACATGATAGAACTGGAGCTAGTATGACTAGATTATTTCAGAGATAATCACATATCTTAATTTAATAGATCTTTAACTTCCCGAGTTTGTCTTGGATATTTTAAATGTTCAACTTTTGTTTGGCATTGTTGAGCCAAGAAGTTTGAAGCGATCCAACATGCGGAGTTCGCCAACAAACATGTTCATGGGTACGTGCAGCCACTAAGATAGTGTTTTCATGTGTTTTAACAGTCCACCACTGCTTAGTCTCCACATATAATTAAACCTGTGGATATTCTCTATATTATAAGATCATACAACTATATATATACAACTGGATATACATTCTCTATATATATATATACACATAAGATTATAGAACTGGTTTTATGTCTATCATTCTACATGGTCATTTCCCAATATTTCCGCCATGGGATCCGCCAGGATGCACCTGAGATTCCGCCAGCCAAGAAGGTGGAGAATTCGCTTTTGCCAAAGGTCCGAGTGATGCTTTCGTAGAGCAGAAAATAGAGCCTATTAAGGTGGACCAACATGGACCAACATGGAGCAACATGGACCATGGTGGCCTTGGGATGTCTTTTCTGTGTATATATATATATATGTAATATATGTGATATGTACACACTTGGAGGTTTCCTAAATTGAGGGTTCCCCAAAATCATGGCTTTCAATACTTCAATGGTCTAATGTTGATGATTTGGGGTACCCTTTTAGGACACCTCCATATTGTCAACCTCAAAAATGGGTGGCCGGCCCAAACTGAAACTGGGCCATGCAATCCTTGTGAATAGACCAACCTACAACTATCAACAAAAATCAAAAAATATGTTCGTTGCAACTAAACGGCATGTACCTAATGGCATTCACCTAAGGTTTTCATCCCAAAGATTAAAAAAAGGGTGCCGGTTACCCCATGTGGAAGCTGCTGACTGCTGACAAAAATTCCCTGATGGAGCACCCAAGGGTCCATGGGGCTATCGTTGGACATCTCAACTTGTCAACTTGTCAAACTTTCAAGGATCATCTGTCGACGGTTGATCACTTTCACCAAGCAACCCTTGGCTCGGTGTATCTCGAATGATCGTGATCCTTAGGCATAGGCACTGATAGCTGTGAAGCTGGCAAAACCCAAAGAAATCCATATCATTTCCATCTGGTTGCGACATCTATCCTATACCATCCTATTTCTCTACCCGCCAGCAATCCAATTGGAATCACCTCAGACGGAGTCATGTCACTCCTATGGCCAATCGAATACCCCAGGCGTTGGTCAAGCGAGTTCAACAAGCCAACCACAAACATCACCATGGAACTGCTGGAACAGCCCTGTTGATGGCATCCAAATCCGGAAAATCATCTTCCGAGTTCATATATCTTTCTTTTTTCTTTTTTCATGCACAGCACATATCCTGGAGACCAAGTCTTGTTTGGGATTCCATATTTAATATGTTTGTGAAAAATAGGATATAGGATGATATAGGCAGTTTATGGCCACGGCCATCAGACGGGGAATTATCATGAAAAGTCAATTTCTTCAAGTGTAAAATGCTAAAAATCATTCTTACGAAAAAACAATCCCATGGTTATAAACCCATTCTGAGGGGAACCCAATGTTTGGCCATTTCAGATTGTATATGGATGATCATTTAGATGAAACATATACATCCCATTTATAATTTATAATATTTTATAATCCCATTCATATAATTTATATTATTTGATGAAACATCCCAACAACCATTTATAAGGGCCATCTTTGTTTTCTGCCGATGACATCGGACCAAGCTTCTCAATGCCTCGCCAGGGGCCGCGGGTGCCAAAGAAGCCATGCTCTCGGACCAGGCGTCGGGCAATTTGCCTCGGAGCGTCAGCAGTTTCTTCGCGAAGTTGGTGAAGATTTCATACCTAGGCTTTATAATTTATAGATTTTTATAGAGGATATCATGGATATCTCTATAGTTGGGCTTATAAACCAACTGAAATAAGGGAATCATTTTGTTGAGAACCCTTTTTGGTGGCTTCTGTGAAGGTTCGTTGCTGTTTGGGGCTTGGACTTCGAACGTGTTCACCATGACTTTGTGCAGTTTTCCAAGGCGGACAGACCAGAAGAGGTATCAAGCCAATATCTGCCATGATCATCATTGACTCAACGTGAACGTTACCCTCTGGTAATTTAACATAGCTATTGAAAATCACCATTTATAGTGGATTTTCCCATTAAAAATGGCGATTTTCCATAGTTATGTTAGTTTACCAGAGGGTAACTGATTTATTCATGATCAGAAGTACCTGGCACATCCTGGCAAACGAGAAAGTCACGCCTAAGTCATGCCTACAATGCTTTTCCGCAAGCCACCTGTAAGTACCATTATCATTACCATGACCATTATTTATGACCAGAAGTTTCCATGATTCGTGAACGTAAGTCTGCTTAGTACCATGACCGCCTATTCACAATCCCATGTAAGCTGAGTGGATAGATCTCACCATAAGTGTAGGGGCCCCATATCCCAACATATCCCAACATATCCCAACATATCCCAACATATCCCAACATATCCCAACATATCCCAATAAACATGGGGGTTTTATAACCCTGGTTACAGCCACAAACCTCAAAACTGCACCCCCAAAACAGCTCCAACATCTCCACTGTGAGTTCAAGCGTGATTTTAAAACTCCTCTTGACTATATAGCATCTTTCGCAATTGGACATTTATTGTCATCAACAATCATTTCTTCAGTATCATAATATCACCATTTCTATCTACATAACCATTGATGCGAATCAATGGATCCATTCGCCACTTTCCCCATCCAAAAAAAACAATGGGACTTTTCTATGGCTTTTCTCACCGACCTTCATCCCTAAAACATCCCTAAAACCACCAACTTTTCGACCAGGTGCCATTCCTCCATCAGCGTGCCCTTATTTTTCAAGTTCGTTTGTGCCAGGCATTTCACCAGCTCCGTGGGTGTGTTGATGAACGAACTCCCCGAGCCGGCCACGCAGCCGGCCAGAAAGACGCTCCTTGAAGCATTGAACATTGAACATCTTTGCAACGTGGATTTTTGGGATTTCCAACTCAAACAAACATATATATATATTATATAGATACACAATGATACACATACATACGTACTATATAATATATTCGTATATATTTGCATCCAACAATGTAACAAATTCTGGGGGGCTCAAGACTGATCATATTTAGTAACCATCCCAAGACCGGGACATTGAGCCGTAGCCGGTGTCGTCACCTCCCCGTTGAAGCTCTGCCTTTTGGATCTCCCAAAATTGCGATGTGCCCCATGAGACCCACGATTTTTGGCAGTAGCATCGAGATTTTAGACAGCCCCAAAAAAACAATTTTTGTTTTTCAGCTGCTTAGTCCACAATATGGAATTAATATACATGTATCATACCCATAGGATCCATGTATGCCATATATGGTAACATGGATCCCATCACTATACCCCCTTTATGTTAGCATTAATATACCAGCACCATGGATCCGTCATGGGATATGTCCTCTCAATTCCAAGCTGTGTTGATCATCCTGAATCACCATTTTTAATGGGAAAATCCACTATAAATGGTCATTTTCAATAGCTACGTTAAATTACCAGAGGGTAACATCAGCCCCATCTGAGTGCCGCACCGCAAATCCGGGTCCTCATTGGGATCCTTTGCAGGGTCTCTGAGATATCTGATGGTCGCTTCGTAGGTCAAGAATAGCATGGCATTCCTGCTGCTGAAGCAGGCTGGGATTGGCCAATCCTGATGATCTTTGAATAAATATAAGATACTTAAATAGATACAATAAATATGTATGTAATGTATCTTATCATATGTGTAATGTAATAATGTAAATCAATCCCAAAGTTGATGTAAGCACGACATGGAGGTCTTCCTTAAAAAGAACTAGAACCATCATATTGAATCATATGTGATCAAGGTGACACATCAATGTTTTTCAACAAAACATGACTAACATGACTTTGGAAGAGGACCAAAACATGTTTAGAAATGCTTCAGTCGCATGAACTCTTGGAGTGTGTGTCCCTCTGCGACCAGCGAAAGATGGCGGTCCCGGAAAATCATCAATCGCCAAGCATCATAGCACCAACTGTGAAGGTTGGTGAAGCATATCCCTTCCAAAGGCCTCTAACACCTCCAAGGATCCGTGCCGGTGCTGCAACTGTGCTGCAACTGTCCCAACTCTTAAACTTCGAAACAACCACTATAAAATTGGCGTGGCAGTTTATACAACCCAAAAATTGTGGTTGCCAAGTCCCAGGATTGATGAACACATTCTGCTGTTTCCACGTCAATGAACACAGTCTTTCCTTCCTTTGTTGAATTATTACTTCGCCATGATTGCTAGTTGAACCCATTATTACTTCGCCATCATTGCTTGAACCCCCCATCATTTTCTGTCAAACATCATCAATCTCGTCAATATTGCTGGCTCATCAACCATATTGACTGCACAAAGGTTGACCGTCTTGATGACATGTTGATTGTTCTTTGGTTGAATGGCAATGTCCATTGGTCAAACATACCCTCTGGTAAACTAACATAGCTATTGAAAATGACCGTTTATAGTGGATTTTCCCATTAAAAATGGTGATTTTCCATAGTTACGTTAAATTACCAGAGGGTAATTTTTGGTTTGTAACATGGTCATCTCGTTGGCAACACCAAAACCGGGGGATTCCTTCAGCTGCAGGGGGTCTCTTATCCAACCGCGATGTTCATCTATCTGGGTATATTATAATAATTCACTAACCTGAATTAAGGTCCATAAAAGGGGATGATTTCCCTTATGAACTATGATTTCCAGGGCTCGGGAGAACAGTGAGGTCGTGATGAAATTTACCCAGATCTATCATGGATGATTGAAAACATCTGGGTGTGTCCGAAAATGCGGGGATACCCAAACAATTGCAAGTTCAATACCTTCTAGTTGGCAAGCAACAACTTTATCATGATGTTTCTCCGGTATCAAACATTTTTTCACAAACCATCTACAGTATCTAACTCAATATGTCATATCTCGATCTATCTAACTCAATATATCATCTACAGTATCTATATGCATCTAACACATATCCACAAATCCCAGTCATTACACTCATAGACGAGGTTTTGCCTAGCCTTTTATCACCATGGTTGATGGTTGATGCTTGATCTACCCCATGTTGGCTGCCTACATGTGGTAAGCACAATCATCAACCATCCCGAAGATGTTGAAAACACCACTGAATTGGGATGGTGAACATTATTGTTGAATCAAGATTCATTGGTTAATTTCACAAGATGTTTTTCAATATTTGAAATCATCAATCATATTTGAAATCACCAGTATTTGTCATATTTCACAATGAATCACACATAGTTATTACCATATTCATAATTTGGAATCACAAATAGTTATTACCATATCCATTCTGAATGTTAATGAATCACCAAAATCAATATTTGAAATATTTGAAATCACCAATCATATTTGAAATCACCAATATTTGTAATATTTCACAATGAATCACATGTTAATGAATCAATTTCTCCAGTTTTGGGTTCCCGCCCAACGCCTTCATGTCGCAGCATGGACTTGGCGCAGTCCATGATGCCCCCGTAGCTGTCACGGCCCAGGACTGCCGTGGTGCTCTGCAGCCGAATACCTAACGGACGTCACGGCCAGCGGGTGATCCATTCATGGTGGATGTATAAGGAATTGGATGGGTAACCCCAGTTTTTTGAGTGGATTAACCCTACTTATCCCATTTATAACTGGGGTTATAACCCACTTACTAAGTGGGATGAGCCACCAAGTATATATAGGGCAAGTCTTTTTTTTGACCTTGGATCACTTTTTTTTGACCTTACCTCTTTTTTTGACCTTGGATCCCTTTTTTTTGACCTTGGATCACTTTTTTCTGACCTTGACCTACTCTTTCTTAACCTTGGCATGTTCCTTTTTATTCTTGGCCTACTTCCCCATACTTGTTTGGAACCTTGCGCCATCTTGCACTTTTTCTCTGTGTGTGTGTGATTCTGGAGTGTCTAGAGTGCGGAGGTAGGCATGTGGAATGTCGAGTTTGCATCTGGCGTGCGGGGTGTGGCGACTGGTGGGTGGAGTGTGCATGGCGTGGACTGTAATGTTTGCAGTGTATGGTTTTCATTTGTAGTGTTCAGTATGCTGGATGTGAAATGCAACGTTGGGCGTTTCGTGCCCAATGTGAGGTGTGGAGTTTGCAGTGTGAAGTGTAGAGTTTGCAGTCTAATGGAGCGTGTAGAGTGCGGAGGTAGGCATGTGGAATGTCGAGTTTGCATCTGGCGTGCGGAGTGTGGCGACTGGTGGGTGGAGTGTGCATGGCGTGGACAGATAGGAAATTGATGGATGGAAAGATGGGTCAATACGCAATGGAAAGATAGATAGATCGATAGATAGCTATCGGCAAAGAGACATTGCGACATAGAGACATATAGACATAGAGACATAGTCATAGCTAGATAGATGGAGGCAAAGATAGAGATAGATAGATATAGATAGATAGATTGCTAGATAGATCAAAATAGATACACATAGATGCAGATTAACCTAGTTTGATATAGATAGAATTAGATGAATAAAGGTATATAGATAGAATGAGAAAGATAGATATGGCGAAATAGATAGTAAAGATAGGATACATAGCATAGATAGGATAGAAAGGAGAGACAGACAAATAGAGAGATAGAGAGATAGATGGATAGATAGATAGATAGATAGATGGATAGATAGATAGATAGATAGATAGAAGGATCGACAGATAGACAGATAGGCAGATAGACAGATAGATATGGTGAAATAGCTAGTAAAGATAGGATACATCGGATAGATAGGATAGATAGGCTAGATAGGATAGATAGGATAGATAGGATAGATAAGAATAGATAAGATCGATAGGATAGATGTGATAGATAGGATAGATAGGATTCAAAGGATAGATAGATAGATAGATAGATAGATAGATCGGTGCCCGCTCGATAGTCACGTAGATAGATAGATAGATACATAGATACATAGATACACAGGTCGATGGAAAGAAAGAAAGATTAATCTATAGACAAACAGAAAAAATGACAGATTGCGAAATAGATAGATAGATAGATAGATACATAAATAGATAGATAGATAAGTTGATGGATGGAAAGATGGGTCGATACGCAATGGAAAGATAGATCGATCGATAGATATATATAGGCAAAGAGGCATTGCGACATAGAGACATATAAACATAATCATAGCTAGATAGATGGAGGCAAAGATAGAGATAGATAGATATACATAGATAGATTGCTAGATAGATAAAAATAGACACACATAGATGCAGATTAACCTAGTTTGATATAGATAGAATTAGATGAATAAAGGTATATGTATATATACATAGAATTACATAGATAGAGTGAGACTGAAATAGTTTGATATAGATAGATAAAAATTGAAGTAGGTTGATATAAATAGATTCAAATTAGTGTAGTTTGATATAGATAGGTCTGGAAAAAATAAATACAAATGGATCTGTATAGATAAATCCGGACTGGTATAGTTTGTATACGGATAGGTAGAGAGATAAACAAATAGATAGATAGCTACCTAGCTAGCTAGATAGATATGGTAGAATAGAAAGTAAAGATAGATAGGAAAGATCGATAGCAAAGAAAGCTAGGAGAGTTAGATAGGAAAGATAGGATAGATAGGGTTGAAAGGATAAATAGGATAGATACGATAGATAGGATAAATAGGAGAGATAGGAGAGATAGGAAAGATAGGAGAGATAGGAAAGATAGGATAGATAGGATAGATAGGACAGATAGGATAGATAGATAGATCGACAGATGGATAGGTAGATAGAGAGATAGATAGATAGATAGATAAGATAAGATAAGATAAGATAAGATAAGATAAGATAAGATAGATAGATAGATAGGTAGATAGATAGATAGAGAGAGAGATATATAGATAGATAGATAGATAGATAGATAGATAGATAGATAGATAGATAGATAGATAGATAGATAGATAGGTATATAGATAGATAGATAGGATAGATAGGATAGATAGGATAGATAGGATAGATAGGATAGATAGGATCGACAGGATAGATAGATCGACAGGATAGATAGATAGATAGATAGATAGATCGATGGATAGGATAGGATAGGATAGGATAGGCTAGGCTAGGCTAGGATAGGATAGGATAGATAGATAGATAGACAGATAGATAGGTAGATAGACAGATGGATAGACAGATAGATAGATAGACAGATAGATATGGTGAAATAGCTAGTAAAGATAGGATACATCGGATAGATAGGATAGATAGGCTAGATAGGATAAATAGGAGAGGTAGGAGAAATAGGAAAGATAGGAAAGATAGGAAAGATAGGATAGATAGATAGATAGATAGATAGGTAGATAGATAGATAGAGAGAGATAGATAGATAGATAGATAGATAGATAAGTTGATGGATGGAAAGATGGGTCGATACGCAATGGAAAGATAGATCGATCGATAGATATATATAGGCAAAGAGGCATTGCGACATAGAGACATATAGACATAGTCATAGCTAGATAGATGGAGGCAAAGATAGAGATAGATATACATAGATAGATTGCTAGATAGATAAAAATAGACACACATAGATGCAGATTAACCTAGTTTGATATAGATAGAATTAGATGAATAAAGGTATATGTATATATACATAGAATTACATAGATAGAGTGAGACTGAAATAGTTTGATATAGATAGATAAAAATTGAAGTAGGTTGATATAAATAGATTCAAATTAGTGTAGTTTGATATAGATAGGTCTGGAAAAAATAAATACAAATGGATCTGTATAGATAAATCCGGACTGGTATAGTTTGTATACGGATAGGTAGAGAGATAAACAAATAGATAGATAGCTACCTAGCTAGCTAGATAGATAGATATGGTAGAATAGAAAGTAAAGATAGATAGGAAAGATCGATAGCAAAGAAAGCTAGGAGAGTTAGATAGGAAAGATAGGATAGATAGGGTTGAAAGGATAGATAGGATAGATACGATAGATAGGAAAAATAGGAGAGACAGGAGAGATAGGAAAGATAGGATAGATAGGATAGATAGGACAGATAGGATAGATAGATAGATAGATCGACAGATGGATAGGTAGATAGAGAGATAGATAGATAGATAGATAGGTAGATAGATAGATAGATAGGTATATAGATAGATAGATAGGATAGATAGGATAGATAGGATAGAATAGCGCTCATATTCGATAGATAGATAGATAGATAGGTAGATAGATAGATAGATAGGTATATAGATAGATAGATAGGATAGATAGGATAGATAGGATAGATAGGATAGATAGGCTAGATAGGATAAATAGGAGACGTAGGAGAAATAGGAAAGATAGGAAAGATAGGAAAGATAGGATAGATAGATAGATAGATCGATAGATAGATCGATGGATAGGATAGGATAGGATAGGCTAGGATAGGATAGGATAGGATAGGATGGGATAGATAGATAGACAGATAGATAGGTAGACAGATAGATATGGTGAAATAGCTTGTAAAGATAGGATACATCGGATAGATAGGATAGATAGGCTAGATAGGATAAATAGGAGAGGTAGGAGAAATAGGAAAGATAGGAAAGATAGGAAAGATAGGATAGATAGATAGATAGATAGATAGGTAGATAGATAGATAGATAGAGAGAGAGAGATAGATAGATAGATGGATAGATAGATAGATAGATAGATAGACAGATAGATAGGTAGATAGATAGATGGATGGATAGATAGATAGATAGATAGATAGATAGATAGATAGATAGATAGATAGATAGATAGATAATTAGATAGATAGATAAATAGATAGATAGATAGATAAATAGATAGATAGATAATTAGATAGGTAGATAGATAGATAGATAGATAGATAAATAGGTAGATAGATAGATAGATACATAGATAGGTAGATAGGTAGATAGGTAGATTGGTAGATAGGTAGATAGGTAGATAGGTAGCCGGGATGAGATGCGATAGGACAGAATGGGACAGGACTGAATAGGATGGATAGGATAGAATTGCATTTGAAAGGATGTGATAAGATAGGATAGGCTAGGAGAGGAAAGGTCGAGGAAATGGTCTCGGAAGTTGGATGTAAACATTGGATAGGTATAGGTCAGGGTTGGATAGGTGAGAATAATTGGACAGATAAGACAAACACGACAGATCGGACAAACAGGAAACCTAGGATAGATAGAGCAGATAGGACAAATAGGCACAGAATCTCCCAAATCTCCCGGAACCGTCTAGAACCTTCCACAATCTCCAAGCCAGCCGCACTTTAACCTTGCTCTGGGCTCAATCCCTGGAGCTGGGACTGCTGGGCAAAATTGCAAACTAGGTTTGAAAAAAGAGGTGCAAGGCTAGAAAAAAGAGGTGCAAGGTTAGAAAAAAGAGGTGGCAAGGTCAGAAAAAAGAGGTGCAAGGTTTGAAAAAAGAGCTGCAAGGTTAGAAAAAAGAGGTGGCAAGGTCAGAAAAAAGAGGTGGCAAGGTCAGAAAAGAGAGGTAGCGAGGCAAGGTTAGAAAAAAGAGTTTTCCAAGGTTAAAAAAAAGAGGTAAGGT